ATTTGTGCTGCGAATTCTAAATCAAGTGCGACAAAAGCACTGCTAATGTTAAGAAATGAAATTATAATCGGCCCCAGCCGAAGAACAATATCCACCATCGCCCATCGCCTAAAAAAGAAGCAACAAAAAATTAAGTTTCGACACTCTATAATATTGAATGCCAGCTGTCTATTGTTTTATTCCTTCAGAGTTGCTATATGATGATCTATGGAAGGTACGCCTAATTTTTGATTATTGTATTTTTCATAATTTTTAGTAAATTAGCAAAAAAAGCCTAATTTTTTTTCGTTTTTAAAACAAAGACGCTATGTTATAAGCGTGCGCTTTGGCCGGTTTGATTTATTTTCAATATAAATCTGCATGTGACAATTTCTAACTTGGACCAAATTTGAAGCGGTTAATTCTAACCATGAATATATATACGTAGGTATTTTATATGATTATAAGAAACTTTTTTCTGGGTATCGCAAATGTTTTGACAAAATGCATATAAACTGATTTTTCTCAAGCAATATGTTTAGATCAATTTCATTCAAGGCACGGGAGCGGTGTTTTGCTCCTGACTCCCCATATTATATATTACTAATTTATTATTATTATTGAAATAGTTAATTTATTATTAGTTAAAATCATACATATTTTTTAAAATGATTATTTTATTCATTTTTAAACAAAAAATCAACTATCACATAATATTGTAAATTTTCGTCAAATCGCTCGTTTTCTCCCACACACACTTATAAAATACCCACCAAGCTTTTCATACTTTTACTATAGGCAATCGTTTAAAACATATAGCGAACGGAGTTTAAAGCTGATTAATACTTTTTCTAACTGAAATGGAAGCAAGTCTATCATTTAAAATTGAAATTTTCTCATTGGCGGTCGTGCAAATCGACATCGAAAATAGGGTAAGTATACGGTTTTTAGAAAAAATAATTGAAAAAATTGAAAATCGCAATTATAATATATAATAAATAATTAAATTAAATTGAAACTTAATGAAAAATGTATGAATTAAAAAGGAAAAATTGAAAATGTATTTGAAGATGTTTTAGAAAATTCGAGATTAATTTTGTCTTGCAATTTTTCTTTAAAAATTTTTTTAGGCTAAAGCTAGCAAACGTGTTAAAGCGGATACAACCGCTAAGAAGGCGGTCAAATCTAAGAACAACCCAGGAAAATCTAGGAAAAGGGAAAATTACACATTAAGTGCTGACGCCAAAGATGTGCCCAAGAACGATGGGAAATCTATCGCTAAACGTGCTAAGAAAGGTACGAAACCAAGTACTACTATAAAAAAAACGCCGGGGACAACTCCACAGCCAGATGCTGCTCCGGCTAAAAATGTGCCCAAGAAAAAAAATAATCCGGTAGGTGCGAAAGCTGATGCGATAAAGTAAAGCAACTAAAGCAGCGGGCACGAGAAAAGGACGTAAAAGAACTACTTAGAAGTCTATCACTTATTATATATACATAGGTAATAAACATATCCAGATATGTTATGTCGCATTTCTGTAATTTCTGTTTAATAAATGCCATTTGTTTCAAGCCAAGCTATGGTGGCAGTTATTTTAAAGAATTCCATCTAAAATTTTGGTTAGCAATGTAATATAATCTTCAGCTGATCCATTCTGGGGTATATAGGGCGATTTGCATATATTTTGTTTTCCAGCTAAGTGATATTGTAAGATGTTAAGTCTGGTTAATGTACATTTTTAGTACAAATACCATCATCCGTTGGCAGTTTCACATCTATTCTTGACGCATCAATAACTTGTCGTGCCGTCTCGTAATGCTGTTATTAAAAGCAATAAAATAATTTATACTTTAAAAGTCCGCCCATCAAATTTTAAAACTTTAATGCGACCAATGGTTCTAATAAGATTCAAAATTGCTTTGACATATTCATCGGCAACAGATTCGAAAATAGAAAAGATGAAGAACACATGAACGCATAACGGACTTGCGAAAAGGTGCTAAAAATATTAAAATAACAGCTGAAAGATGGTAATAAAAAGTAAGAAGTTGATGTGTTATACTACATATTATATACATTTGTGTACGAAAGAATGTGGGGATGAAAGAAAAAAAGGCCATTTTACTAAAAAATTAAAAACAAACAAAAAATTGAAAACAAATTGTAAGGAAAGAATATTTTTTTGTATTAATATAAATTTAAATAGCGTATAAAATATGGAGAATTGTTTAGGAATAGAGGATAATATGTTGCATTTCAGTAAATGTGGAGAGATTTTCTATGACACTCTGACAACTCCGGATATAAGCGTGAGTTTTCATTGCTCATTTTGTCGGAAAACGTTTGTGGACCTGTTTGCTTTTCTAAGACATCTAAAAAATGATCATTATATACCACCTGCATCTATTACTGCGGAATTTCCTTCATCAATTGTTAAAGAAGAACCGCGAACCGAAGAAACTTCACTTTTAATTGTTAAACAAGAAACTCAGACGGAAGAAATACCTCTTTTAATAGTTAAGCAAGAACCTCAGATACAAGAAACTCCTCTTGTAATTATAAAGGAAGAGCATCAGAGAGAGGATATACCTTTGGTAAATGAAAGCAATGGTAGCGAATATATAGTGGAAGATGCGAGTTCTTTATTGGAATGCGTTTTGAAAGGCAACGAAGTGAGAATTGAAAATGATCACGAATTGCAAGACCAATCGTCTGACGATTGCGATTTACAATCTAAACGAATCGGAGAAAATCGTAAACCTAGAGAATATGCTTGTCCCCAATGCCCGAAAGTATTCAAAAAGAAATGGGATCTTAAACAGCATTTGCATATACACGAGGGCATGAAACCGTATCAATGCGAGCACTGTCTAGTTTCGTTTGCGAGCAAATCAAATCTCATATCCCATGTGAAACGGCACAACGAAGAAAGATCTTTTGAATGTCATTATTGCACGCGCAGTTTTACTTCTACCAATGAACGTGACATTCACGAGCGCTCTCATACCGGTGAGCGGCCCTATGTGTGCGAATTGTGTGGAAAAGATTATACGGCTGCATCGCATCTAAGCAATCATCAACGAAGAGAGCATTTAGATGAGGGGAATTTCGTCTGCGATATATGTGAAAAACGCTTTATCCGAGCTAGCCAATTGCGAATGCATCACTCGAATATTCACTCCGAAGTGCCGCGTAATCATATCTGTATGATTTGTAATGCGGCATTTAAAAAGAAAATTACATTAACGCAACATCTAAGAATTCATAGAGAAAAAACTTATAAATGTTTAGAATGTGGGAAGAAATTTGCCCAACATTCCGGTTTATATTCGCATCGAAAAATTCATGAAAAACAAAGAGAATCTTTATTAACCGAAAAAATAAAACAAGAAAATTCAGAAGAGGTCTTTGGACGATGATTTTATTTTATTTAGTTTGAAACTTTTATTGCTATTAAGTAATATGAATACACCGATTATGTCCTTACGAACATTCATCCGCCTCGTGATTAGAAGATGCTTCTCGAGCACTTACTCCTCACTTCTTAATTTATCTTCATACATTGCGCACTAATGGGATTTTTTAGATTTTATATTAGCAATGACTGAGTTAATATATTATTCTAAATAAATGCGAATAAATTATGTTAATGAAAACCAAAAAGAATCAAATTCTTTTCTTTAACTTTAAAAGAGCGAGGAGGAGGGAAATGTCGTCTTCCGGTATCGTTCTTATAAAGAACTAGCTTTAACGGCAAATATAAAAATGTATAAAAATATTTGCGATAAAATCAATATGATTGCCAAGCAAAGCGTAACGGTTTTATACAACGTAGGTGATGCATTCTAATATTGGTCGATGTATCGAAGCAGTCCGTTGATTGAAAATTTTCAGATATATGGTGAAATTTTCAAGCGTTATTGGTGGCAAATTTTACATATGCCGCACACTTACTGCTCGCATGTTGTTAACAATGCTAGCCAGATTATCTTTTATGGATATGTATCGCACTTTTAAGAATAAAAAGCCAATCGTCTTACATATATAAGATATATGTACCGTTTGTTCCATCACACTTTTTATAACTTGGAATACTTTTCTTTCAACTGCTTGGTTATGATCGTCATGGATGTTAATTTTATATTCATTGACGAAGGAAATGCTTATATGGGAAGAGATCCAAAAATGGTCCCATTCCATTCAACTTCGGCAGATGCTTTTAATATTTCTCTTTTTATATCTAAACAAAAAAAAAGAGGAAAAAACAACATTGTCCAGTGAAACGGGAGGGGACTTTCAATAAGTTCAGTTGAACATTATTTTATCCTGAAAGATTGGGTTCATCCGCATAAAATTCAAAATTTTTAAAACTCCTCACGTGCAAGCATGTAGATTAAGCTACTGGTTTTTTTTATTTAAATTGGTATCAGGTACCCTTTTGGCCGCAGAGCCCCTTAAATTAAGATTGATTGAATGAGACTGAGCTGCTGCCTTCTGCTTTTGATTTTTTCTAAAGTAAATTTTTTTAAAACTTAAATATATACTTAATAAGGAATCATATTAAGAGACTGGTATTGTAATTGGCACAGAAAACATAAGCAAACCGTTGGAAGCACAGAACCTATATACCTATTAAATTTTACGGCATTGCACATAAGTTATTGGAATCGTGCAGCGCGTGAATGCGCGGCCAATTACCGAATCAGATATCCGATGTTTGCCGAACATTTCATACGTGGCGAGATTCATTAGAATCCTAAAGGTTGCAGTACGGATTGTTCGCCACATTTCAACACAATACAATATAATTAACTTAATATCTTTTTTGTTTCCTTCAATCCTAAAAAAAAAAAAAAAAATTACAAAAAAAGGTTTTTCTAGGCTGTTACTGTGGTTTTGCCTCTTCTTAATTGATGAGTATTATTAATATTGCTTCTTTCATGTCTTGTGGACACTAGATAATTAATTGAAATTTTTGTAGCTTAATAACGAAGATTAATATGATAATTTTGTATGCCATTTACGCATCATAGAGAATAGACTTGAATATGAATGTATGAATATTTCAGTCGATTGCGGTTTATTTCAAATTACATTATTCAACAAATAGTTTTGATTGGGAAACGGTCGAAATCATTGTCGGTTTCGGATTTAAACACAACTGGTTCTTTGGGCACATCCGTCGACATGAAAATCTTGGTTTCTACCTCAAATAAATGATCTTCATATTTATATAGCGGTAGTCTGACAAATACTCCTATCGCGATCAAATTGGATTGCACACATGTAGCGCACGCAACGAGGAGCATTACTGTTACGTTTTGAATCGTAGATGCAACATAGCCTAAATCCGTAGATTATAAGCGTATCACAGCTATAGATACGTTTCGATGTGTGTGATTACAAATATGTATTATATATAATATACATAATATTTCTAAATATATATGTAAAAATGTAACTTCATGGTTTTATTGTGTCTTGATAATCCATGTTAACAACTCCAAGGCATTTTTCTTAATGACATTTCTACAGCATTGAAAGGCTTTAAACCATTCACTCGAAAACACGCCTTTACTGTCTATGAATAGGTGTCATAGAGATTGAATCAAGTTTTTCAATAAAGCATATTTTTGAAGTTGCAAGGATCTATGTGCAAGTCTTCAATTGCAGGACGGTATCGCTATCTAATAATTGACAAGCGAATTTACGTTGGATCTGGGAACGAACAATATATAGTATAAATAACTATATATTTTGTCCAGTCTTCGGTTTTAGTAACAATTTTTTTTTTAAATCCACTTTCACTCCGTTTCGTTGTTTAGGTTAGTGCGGCGATTGTTGACACATAGACACTACGTTAGACATGGTTACATTTTACAGTTTATCAGCATGTCTTTATGATCTACGACGTTTTCATACAAATTGCGATTATTTTAATTATTTAATTTTAAATGAATTTGACTAAGCCGATAAGGATGGAAGCAAAAAAAAAAAAAAAAAATTGTATCCGCCAATTGTGGTAACAGTTGCCCGATTTTTTAAATTTACCCTCTCTCGAGGGTAAATAAAACATATTTAATTAATAATTTTAATCGTTTTACATTCATTTCATTAAAAAAAAAAATTCATAAGAGCTTTACATTTCATTATATCGCAAAATAATAAGAAAATAACCTAATACTTAGAATTTGTAATAATCCTATCAGAAAATGATTATTTCGTTGCTTCGATTTTCTTATTCAAATTCATAGAAAATTGGCGTTTGATTCGTTTCTTCTTTAAACTAACTCAATACGAACGAATTGTGAAACTTTTTCTATTTTGCCTTCAACACCTACCTGTAAGAGAACACACGCAGTTGTCAGTCGTATGTCTTCATAGCTAAATGTGTTAAGAAAATCGTAAAGGCACTTGAGCGCACTTCTCTATGCCGACTGTTTTTTAAAAATGTACCAAAAAAAATGTATAAAAATATAAATGTTAGTTTGCCGGCCTTGGTCCCGATAAGGGCAGTAAATTTAATTGGCATTTGTAGACAAATAATATTTATTTTCCGGCATGATTTGTAGCCAAGCACTGAGATTCAAGTTCTTGTGACAGTTTTTGATATTCTGGTCATTTCATCCACAGAAAAAAAAACATAGGCCTTAGGTAAACTGATGAAATGCATATACACACTATATTAGGTGTTTACTAAAATTTTAGTGAGCGACTTCTATAGGTAAAAATGATAGAGAAATGGCTTCTTCATATAATTATATTGATTTATTGAGTGTACGTCGAGCGCTCGAAATTCTTCTCCGTCCAAATTCATGTTTATTTGAGGAAATTGGAGAGTGTACGAAAATGGGTCGGTGAGTGGATCGCTGCCAAACCAATAAAAGTTCTTTCGACGTGATATCGCCATGTTGCCAAAAATGTTGTAAAATGTTGTCGAAAACGATGGAAGCTATTTTGAGTAATGATCAACATTTCTGCAAGCACCTAATATGTCTGATAAAGTTTGTAATGCATGAATTTCTGGGCAATAAAAACTATGGTTGGTTGTGATTTGGGGACATCGTCATTCAGCACTAGCTTTTAGTAGAGTATCATAGAAAAAGCGATCTAATAGATTTGTTTTGGAAGACATTTTCTACTTCTTCTAAAATGCATCACATCATTATCATTATTGTATTTGTTGAGAGCAATAGTCGTATAATTAGTCGTAAAATGATTTAATCGTCATTCAAGATATATCTTGTTTTAATTGATCTGCCGATGCACGTTTTTCTTTTTGTTTTTGATGTGTTTTTCGATGCGTATATAAACCGCAACTTTGTGCAAACTTTTTGCCACACTCTAAACATTCATGAGTTTTTTCTTTATGAATTTTAAAATGTATTTTTAATCCAGTCTTTGTTTTGAAGGCTGCTTTACAGATCGTGCAAATATGAGTGCGTGGTCCTTCAGTATGGGTATTCATATGCACTTTTAATACGGCTTTCCCTTTAAAAGCGGCTTTACAGATCGTGCAGACATGAGTTCGCGGCGCTTCAGTATGTATATTTGTATGATGCATTCTTAACTGGCTCGGTCTATTAAAACGTTTATTACATATATCACAAACATAATTTCGTTCATTTAAGTGCTGACTACTGCAGTGGCTCTTCAGCGATGACGAGGTGGCGAAACTTTTACCACAAAACTCACAAACATAAGGCCGCTCGCCGGTATGGTAACGTTCGTGGACATATCGTTCGCTTGTGGAAACAAAACTCCGCGTACAAAAGTGACACATAAAGGGTCTATCTCCCTTGTGTACCCTTATATGCACTATAAGATTTGATTTACAGGCAAAGGAAGCGGGACAGTGATCGCACTCATACGGTTTTACACCGTCATGTATATGCAAATGCTGTTTTAGGTCCCACATCCTTTTAAACATCTTACAACAATGAGGACAATCGTGTTCTCGTGGCTTACGTTTTTTCGTAATTAGTTTAGATTGCGTATCAGATCCATTCTTAGATGATAATTCTTTACGTTTTTGCTCGTTATTCACTACTTTTTTGTTGCTTTTCAAGCCACATTCCAGTAAAGATATGGCTTTTAATGCACATTCGTTACCATTGTGTCCATTTTCCGCAACAGTGTTTTCGATTTCCTCTTTATCCGTTCGTTTATTATTGTCAGAAGAAAACTCTACAGTTGTTTGGGATGGCTTATTGTGTGTACTTTGTAGGTGGTTTAGGAATACATTTAGGTCGGTAAACGTTTTCCGGCAAAACGAGCACTGAAAACTCAAATTTACATTTGAAGCCGTCAAAGTATCACAGAAAATCTCCCCACATTTATGTAAGTGTAACATACAGCTGTCTATGTCCATAAAATTTTCCATATTTTGTAGACTATATATATATATATATACATATATAAAATTTATTTAAAATATATGTCTGTCTTCACTTTTATAAAACGTTTACTTTTTGCAGTTATGATCGTTGCTTTGAATTGCTTTACATACAAAATCACAAATATGTATAATTTTTTACAAGAAATCAGGAAAATAGCAATTTATCTTAAATGTCTCACTCGCCGCTTTTCGATGACTAACTAACTAAACCTTTCTGCCAGTTGTCCAGTAAATTTGGAAAGATTCTAAAAAAAAGGAAGGCTGCTCTATTTTATGGTAAAACATAAATTACATAACATGCACCAACAAAAATAATAATCAATTTATCAATGAAATATAGGATTGAACCTTTATAAAATGCTTTACTATACGCCATACGTTATATGCGTTTATCAAAATCAATCGAAAATATAAATGCGCACGTGAGCGACAACTCCTTATCCTATAGTATTAATCCAATTAAACGATCAAAAAATCGAACAATTTCAAAATACTCGGAAAAAGAATATCCAATACGATATTAAATTATTATTTAGAGCAAAGAATATTTTATACGATTAGAAAAGAATTCTGGCCACGCATTATCAAGGCGATTTAAAACCTAAGTTAAACTACCAAAATAATAAAGGAAAAAAAAGGAAACTATTGCTTTTGTATACCATTGTAACGTGTAATAAAAATGATAAGCAAATAAATTAAAAGATTTAGTCCAGTTGTCGTGCATTTTAATGATACTGTCAAGATGTCCATAGGATTAGTCGCTCCGAATGCGATTGACTTTGGCATTCAAAACGCATGCATTTTCGTAATAAATAAATAAATTGAACGCATACATTTTTTAAGAATACGTTGATGTGTTGCAATTGTATTACCAAAGCGAATTCTTGCAAATTCTTGATTTTTCTGACGGAACAGTGAAAGATTAGAACTAAGATGAGAAATATGGGATGATATGTCGATTTTTTTTCATTTCATTTTTTTTTTTTTTTTTCTTACGGTACGTCTTTCCATATGATTAAATAGATTTCGTTCGTTGTGATAATCTGTGCTTACGTTTCTCAATATATTCATTGAAATACTTATTGCTCTCCTATTAATATTCATATTACATGAAATTGTTAACAAGAATAAGCCATATTGCAATATTTTTAAATTTCCTTCGCTCACCCCTTGCACAATCAGAATAACCGGACGCGAATATTAAAATGCAATTTTTATAAGGCGGAAAAATCAATAAAATAGGAAATTACCAAAGAGACTTTTTATGCAATTTTTCCTGAATGGTTGCTTTCTTTCGCATTTAATGCGATACTCGTAGGGTTTAATTTTAATAAAGTACTGTTTTTTTTTCTCTCCAAGAGTTACGCTTATCTTGTCAATAATGTTTTTATCATAATAAATATTTGAATATTGTAATATATATGTAAATATTAAATTTAATATTTAAAATGACCGCGATCTCACAATTTTTGTTGTAAATGCGATTTTGTTTCGTTTATATGGTTTCATTACACCCACTTCAAAAAAATGTTAAATTTCTTAAAATTGTCGCGAAAATTCATTAACGCCAAAGTAAGTATTAAGTAATTTATTATTAAAGAAAAAGTTACTAAAAATCTGAACTGTTAGGAACCAGTATGTTTGGTGTTAGGTAACGAGGCATGCGATTTGGATTCGGCGGTTAGTGCTCTGTCATTATCCTATTTCTATCAACACAATCACCAGCGTCTAGAGACTTTAAAGTGTCGGAATTTTTTGCCCGTACTTAACATACCTAAACATGATTATCCTTTGAAAACCGAAGTGCATTATTTATTCCAGCAGTTATCACTTAGCGAAGAGTATTTAACATTCCGCGATGAGCTGTCTGTGGAATTTATGACAAGGTCCCAATTTGTGTTGGTAGACCATCATAATAGCCCTTGGTCAAAACAAGCAATAGTCGTCTTTGACCATCGACCCAGAGACGAAACTGCTGAACTACCACTTGATTGCTCTATACATTTGGAATTAGTGGGTTCGTGTTGTACCTTGATAGCGGAATTGATGTTAAAGGCTGAAATGACCACAATCAAGGAAATCGAAATCTTAAAGCTATTGCGCAGTACCATTGTATTGGATACAGTTAACTTTTCAGAGTCTGCGAAAAGGGCTACAGCTAAAGATCATGAAATTTGCTTTGCTTTGGAAGAAAGACTATGTGCTATATCTCAACAAGAAACACGTAAGCAAGTGTTTGACAATTTGGTAAAAGCTCGCAGTGACGTTCGCTCTCTGACTACATTTCAATTGCTTAGGAAAGATATGAAATTGATTTCTGACATACAAAGTAATAAAAAAATCGTTTTGCCCGGCTTTCCGATGTTGGTGCAAGAATTTATCAAAAAGCCGCAGGCTGAAGAAGCTTTAAAGGAGTGTGCCCGTAACACTGATAGTTCAGTTATTTTATTGTTGGGGATGCACATTGACATTGATCAAGATGGTAGTGTGCAACGTGATTTGGGCTTGATAAACATAAAAGATTCCCAATTGTTTGCAAGTGTTAAACGAAAGTTGGAGACAATGTCCGAACCAAACTTACAATTGGAAGAAAACCACGGCTGCCATTTCATGCAAGGTTGTTTCTTTAAACAAGGTAATATAAAAGCTACTCGTAAACACATCCTTCCAGCTGTAAATCAAATTTTAAACGATTCACAATAAAATCTGGAAAAATTATTGACATTTTTTTCTTTTTTCGTACTTTTTTTATTAAGCTATAAAAGTTTGCTTTAAATTTTTCCAGCTTCGCCAATCATTTCATCATCCTCACATTCCAAAGTCAAATCTTCCAACATTTCAGCCAGCGTTATGCGCGGTATATTGTCATTGCAACCCAGGGCATCTTCGCCATCTACTGGCATTACCTTTCGTTTATCTCGATATATATTAACTAGCTTCCGATACTCCGTATCCTCTTCTAAATCTTCTAGAAATTCATTGTAATCCATTTTCTGACGCTCATTCTCAACATCTTCGGTCAAATGTCGTAATTTCCAAAAACGTTGTTTAGATCGTGCCTGCCGGTCTACCGTAAAGCATTTCTTAACCAATATTATATCCGGTATTTCTTGCGTATTCAGTTTTTCATATTCCCCGTTATTAATATTTGCTTCCGCTAAATTGTAGCCCATTACCGAGTCTCCCACTTTTAATAAATGACCTAAATGTGAACGTGTGTGTATGGTGTTGTCATTAATACCTAATTCTGAGGCTCGCACTAACCAAATGTCGCATAGAGCATGGCGGAACGACAGTTGGCCCTGACCAGGATAATACCTGCGATCTTTATCCATTATAATTTCAACATCCATAACAACGTACTCCACTAACTGTGGCGGATTACAGATAGCCTCAAACGGATTACGAAAATACGCTTGACTTGACAATTCCGCAATCTGAGCAGTTAACGGATCTATCAAATGAATAGCGCTGGCTACCTTATGTATTAAGCATATAGGCGATAGATTACCCAGCTGTTGACGTAACTTTTTGGGTAAACATACTGCACTGCCTTTGGATAAGGGTACGATTTCCACTGACCAAGTGTATTTGTAATTATAATTGTTACTATGTATATCATGCGAAATTAAACGTTTCGAACTGGTTACCTTGGCCGGGATCATAGTCTGCAGGAAGTCGACCATTTTACGGGCATGATTGTCATTAGCATAATAGAAATCCAATCCGCCATGCATGGGTTTAATGCCCAACGTATTATTGTGGGCTTTATGCTTTAATATTAACTGTTCTAAATAATAGAAAGTCTTCTTATTGTCGCAACGTTGACGTACTTGAACCATGCAACGCCAAAAATCCTTCGCTTCTGTACGATGACAATCATCACACATTTGATTTTGTATCGTGAACTCAACAATGAACACTTGCTGCAGCATTGTACCTCCCGATACTTCGGCGTGGACGGTCAGCTTAAGTTTAATCCTTTTCGAATGTGCTTCGGTCCAAACGAAACCAGCATCCACTAATTTCACATCTTTTAAGCCGCGTAATTTCTTTAAACACAAAGCCAACAACTCTCGCGATTCTAAAGCAGCGGATATCCATTCGCCAGGCGGCTGTAGGTAACGTTCACAATTACGGCAGAAATGAAGGACAGCTTGCTTGGGTATGCCCTCGGTAATATCGACATGAGTACGCAAACAACCAACACACATGTTAGATGGATTTGGTTGTATAGTGGCACCGCATTCACAACATAATATCGTTGGATTTTGAATGCTTGTAACGGCACTACTGTTGACACCCGTAGAGAAATCAACGTACTCCATTTCCTTTTGAATATTTACTTTGTTGGATGTTGAGTTAACATGGACCAAGCCAACAAAGTTTGGGCTAATATTTCCAAATAATAAGCGGTAGTAATTATTAGCAAGCAATATATATAAAAGCCATCAAAAGAAATGCGACCGTGATAGCTAAAGAAAGACACGTGCTAGCAAAAAATTTTCTTACACACACGATAAACTTATTTTTCCTTCTTCTTCTTTAATGTTTAACTCGGGTAAGAAGTGTCCTAATACTTCTTCTTCCCACTTTTACATTGAAGTATTCTTCTTCTTCTTCTGTTCGACAAACCAACAACCGCAAATTTACTGCGATGTATAAAATATTTAATTGTAAATTGCTAGAGTTGCAAAATAATAATGACACATAAGCCACTCTGAGGTGATTTGTAACTTGTGCATGATATTCGTTTTCAATTGCTTTATGAAAGACCTTGCTATCTCTGTCACTTCTATCATTCTTTTCGAATAAACTTGAAATATTTAACACTTGAATTTTGAGTGTAACTACACATAATTTGTACGTAGGTAACAATAAAAGCCGAGCTTCCTATCTTCTTTTACTTTTTAGGGATTAACAAGTACTCCATGGAAATGTCTTCTAAAACATCCTCCATAAATAGGAAAAAAAAGTTGACGAGGACGAATACTTCGATTAAATTAATAATGTTGTACTGTTAAGAGTCTTCTGATATCAGAATTACGACCTTCAAGCTTAGTCTGTCTCTCTCCTCTAATTGTGTTAAGGACAAACATTAGTTGTATTAATCGTTAGATTTTCTCACAATTAGAAAAACATGTGCGATCTATTCTGAACCGTAAACTCGGAATGTAAATAATATATTATTTATTCCTCAATATATATTTGATATTCGTATACAGATATAATAATGAAAACAATTTGTATATGTAATTTCGTATATATCGCGCGGTTGTGTAGGCATTTAGCTATGAATTTTTAGTTCATTACCTAATCGCACTAAAGCTGAACTACGTCTTGCTCAACTACTACAATACTTTATTACTTGATAAAGGTCTTCTTAAAGTAGTTTAAAACAGATTTCTTACTATTTCTTTGCAATCGTATTATAGGCAAATTTATCTTCTAATTTTGATAGCATTGACAATGAAGAAAAATTCTGCAATATTTCCTATATTAAAAAATCATTTCTGCTTTCACAAATCCTAACCGACCTTTTTTTTTTTGGTTTTGCTGCTTTAATAGTTTTCTGTTTATATATATCTAGAGTCTGTTAAAGCTGCTGACTTCCAAGTACTTTAAGAACAATTAAAATCATTCTTCAAATCTCAATTCCAATCCTTAGTATTTTTCATTGCTTCGCTTTTTAAATAATGCAAACTAGACGCACTTTTTACAGATATACGCAAAGAAATAAATTAGGTTTGTGCAAAAGAGAATCCGCCTTTGGGTTTTTTAATTCTCTCTGAGTTACGGAACAAAGAAAAGGATAAGCCATGGTAATTTTATTAATAAAGTGAGCACATCACATGTGGCAAACTTCCTCGTTCAGATAATGTGTTGGATATTTTGCAAGAGTAAAAACCTTTAAGTAAATTAAATACTTGAATTTAATCAACCCATTATCCAATAATATATTACAATTAACTCGCGAGACATAGCTCTGACCAAAATATGTGTGGACTAATGCATATTCAGTTAATGTCAGACGACGAATTTCCCTTGAATTCTCTTGTAGGTGAGGAGTTACGAGTGACATGTTATTGCTAATAATCAATCACACCTTTCTCAATGTTTTGCTGACAAAACATACGCACTGTACTGTACATATGTACTTTTTATAGCTGCTTTATAAACCCCAAAAAATGGATTACCAAATATATATAAATATATATCCATTTTAATTGAAGAAAAAAACGACTGTCAATATAAAATAAGTCGGTAACATACTAAAAAGCAACCGTAATTCCATCTTTGACCTCGCTTTTAATATTTCACAAGACACGATACTATAGAATTTACGTTCCAGAAGAACTTACAACAACTTTACATTACTTGTAAAGATGATATCTTCTTCGTTTGATGCCCGAAAACCAATTGAATTTCAGCCAATTCTTATTTCCGATCTACTTTTTATTATTTTTAATTGATGTTACTGATCATGCTTTAACTGCAAACTTGCGTTTTGGATAAATCGATCGTTTGCGAATTTCCTTTAATGTTTTTCTGTTTGCGTCTCTAGGGGATAGAGCCTTCCGCATAGCCCGAGTTCTTTTCTTTCTTAAGTCCAAAGGCTTGTACTTCTTGTTTTTAAAAACTTTTCGCAAATTTTCCTTCTGTCTCTGATGCATAACAATGTATGCACGGGCAATAGCTTTACGAACCACGCGTCTATTAAAGAAAAATTAAATGTTTTTCTCTGCAACCTAAAAAAAATGCAAAAGTACTTACATTTTGGAAAGCTTTGAGGGGGCTCCTCCCGTCACCTTTGAGACGCGTAAATTAAGCAACTCAATTTTGAGCTCATCCAGCTGTTTGGTGAGCTCCTTTTTGTCTTTAGTTCTCAAATCCGAACACTTTACTTTCACCTAAAGAAATAATAATATATTTTTTAGTATCAGAAAATATTACTTATTCTATAACCATTGTTAAATTTTCGTAATAAATTGCAATCCTTTAATTAAAAATCATTATTGATGCTAGAAAAACTTTCGGAAAATTTCAAGTGTATAATTTAACACAAACCATTTTGTCCACGGAATCACGTAAAAAAGAATGTTGTCGAAATCAATTATACTGGCTAGGACGGTTTGACAGTTTTACACGTGAAGTTATTAACCTTCACAAATTTTTTTTTGAAACATCCCTGTCTTTATTAATGGAATAAAAATGCTGCATAAAAATCCAAATAAACTATTTGATTTACAGTAATGCAACGCGTAACAGACATAATTTATAAAACATTTCAGTTTCATATGATTGAGATGTCTCCATTTGTACATGATGCGTAGTATAATATGACTAATTTTATAGCTGTTGTTGTTTATTATTACCGCAGCTATGATAAAACACTTTTTTTTTTAATTCTGCCTTTTATAATCATCAATCCATAATTAGACAAATGCATTCAGTGAAAAGTATTATACTATCAGTTTGTTCCTTGCTTGGACTGTTTGTAGAGGGGTTCATTTGATTCGAATCTGTTCAGCATATATAGATCCAAAGATGTAATGGAGCGTCAACATATAACTTATTTACGATGTAAACAGAAATTTTACATCTTTCTCTCAAGTACTGATATCGAGTCCAGTATATATTCCATTTTCATTATTTTCGTAAACTAAACCTACCAATGTAAATTGATGATAACTTGGATAGAAGACGGAACTTCAAGGCAACCTGATAATTACCCGACAATAACTTGTTTTCCCAGCCTTTAGAACCGCATGAAAAGAGTTTTGGGTATCGAAGATATCTGAGACAAGAGTTATCCCGAATATATTTTGAATTAGTTATTTGACGGAAACGAAATGATTAATTTTACGGATGTCGTCAGTTTTGTAAAACTTAGAACCAAAATGCTTTCTGAAGAAGAATTATTAGAGGAGGTATGGAAGGTGGAGAACAGGTCGCTTAGACAGCAAAAGCTGCTTGCTTTAATTAAATTCATTAGGGTCTTACCCCTATTTTTCGTAGTTGTAAGGATGATATTCGTAAACTCGTCAAGGAGGTAAATATACAGAAGCAATGACGATATTTGGATGGAGGTTTAAGGGTCTAATTATGTCCACATACAAGAGTGAGACGAAAGGGATACGTTTAAAGCATATGCCGTTTCTGATAAGAATACCAACGCCACCTTACCCATCCCTTTTGCATTTGGTGGAAACAACATAGTTAGTAAATTTTAGATTTGAGTAGGACTCATTGGGACCAAAGATTTCACTGAGCATGTAAAAGTTGATTTGATTAGAGTTCAAATAAAGTCGAGGGTTGAGAAATTACGTCTAAAACTTTGAATGACATACTCTAGAAAGGAAATCATGTTTGTTGAGGGAAGTTCAACAATTTGGTGTTCGCCGCATTGAGAGCATCACACGAATTCGCAAAATGATTCGTTTCTTCCAAAAAGGTCCTTGTCCGCTATGACACTGACGCTGACCTAAAAGCTTATAAAATATCTGATTGGAGTTTTTCAAGCTCTGCAGTTTTATAGGTGTTAGCATATTCTTTTATTATGGTTAATATTTCTGATATTGTCATTGAAGGTCGCAGAGGGAAGTAGAGGAAAGTTGTTATCGTATTCGCCGGTGTCCAGAGAGTCGAATTAGGTTTGAGAGTATTTTTCTTGATATTCTGACTGTTCCTCTTTCTACCTACATAGGCATGTTTTGATTACCGTGTTGTTGTCATTAAGAGAGGCACATAGAAGACATGTGATATTATTACATTCAATAGTAGAGGCTTTACAGAATTTGGTATTGTGTCCGAAGCGGCCACATTTAAACCATTGTCTCAGCGTAAGAATGAAGAAATTCACTTGGAGAATGTAGTAAGTAACTCAAAGTAATCGTTTTGGGAATTGTTTTTCCTTAGAGGGAAATATTTTCATTGTTTTTGATATAAACTGGATTACATTCCATCTGGACATTACGCACAATTCCAAATCTTTCGTTAAGAATAAAATTATTCGCTTTTGAGAATGTTTGGCTTCACCATTACTTATCGATTTTATCATTTTTAAGTCCATCAGATTAAAATTTTTTAAATATTGCGGAATCAAAAATATTACAATTAGGTAAAATATAACAACTAATATCTAGAGAATGAAACCTTAGATGTAAGCTAATAATAGAACTTGATTTAGAAAATACTGTCGGAAGGAATACTGTCTTTGATGGATGTCACAATTTCGGGATTTGAAGATTTTATGTTGGAATGGGAGATGCTGATTTCAGGACTTATCATCTTTTTGGTCCTGCTCGTTAATTCTGAA